AAATAACTTAAAAACTACAATTCAAACAAATTTTGCTATTAGTAAACAAATTGCTCCTCATGATACACTAATTATTTGTTTAAGTCTCATCTCTCTAAAGCAAAACATTTTGCCTGGGTAACGCACACCAATATCGCTACTTCACCAATCATTAAGCCAAGGATACACTCGGGGACAAATTTTGTATGACCTGTGTCGTCAGCGACGTTGGGTGGAGTAGCGCAACATTGTCAGACTTAGGTCGACATGCCTGGCAACATCAACGTCGCTGTGGACATAGGTAATGCACGTTCTCGCCTTAAGGGGGGAAAATCATCGAATGACTGCTCCCGCCTGGGTGAGGCGTGTCAGACTCTTATTGACTAAAAACCACCCCGTTACTTCTCCTGCACGATAATATATCGGGCAAAATCGGCAATCTTCGCTTGATATGTCGCGGATACACGTCGTGGGAAATTTGTCCCCTTTGTATCCTTAGCTTTACTTTTGCATTTTTAATTCAGTTGAGATTATTTCAAAGTTATTATACCTACCAAGTGCACACAGGGTGACTTGCAACTGGACATATTCCTCTCGGAAGGTGATAATACAACTAATTTCCTACAAAATTAGCTACTTTCGGACCAGAGAACTCAGGGCATACGTCGAGTTACAAGTCATCCTATATAACAGTTAAAAGTATGAAGAAAGACTTTTGCACAATTAATGCGTGCAAAGCCGCGTGTACAATCTAGTTGACTTAATAGTATAACATAAGATTTGATCGAAGCTATGTTTTGAGGCGATTCAAATAGCATCACATAACTCTAGCTGCATTACTGGCTGTGTTGGTGCTTTCAGTATATATTGTTACACGATACATCGTTCGTTCCTATATCGGTCTATTTCTGTGTGTTTCGTGAAATTCCATGTTTATTGATTTAGTTCGAACTTCAGATTATGTTGGGGTGAACTTGGTCTGTTAATTGTTACGTTATTTTGTTTGTTTCATTGTGTTTTATTAGGTTATATGTTAATTTTGCTAATGTATATTAACACGTTAAACGCCATGGCAGTCACCGGTGACCGACATTAGCGGAGGATTTGCCTTCAACAGTTTTTTATTGGCAGCCAATGCCTTAACGAATACTTCGTCGGTCAAATTTGTACCAGTTATCCTATTCCACTTATCTAAAGTTACATTTTTTTATAAACATTAATCTCTTAATTCAATAAATTAATTATTAGGTAATGCGTTAGGTTCAGCAATAGGTTCGCCCCCTATTACATGGGACTCATACATAAATAGTGAAAAGTGGGTGTTACATTGTACAGTAGCATTCAGTGCCGTAATGTGCAGCTCTGCCTACCCCTTCGGGGGATAACAACGTGACGTTATCTATGCGTTAGGTTCTCCGTTCGGTATTACCATATTAATGTCATGTTACATTATGTTATGTGTAATAAATGAATTAATATACAACATACCATTGTTTTTGTTGCACGTATCTGCTCCTCTGACTGTCAACGAGGACGCCATCTTTATACCACAGCACTGATGACTTTTCAATGCTGGGTTTCATGCCACACAACAGTCGTAACCGCTCGTTTACTGCAACTTCTACGCGTGTGTAGTCTTTATCTGTAACAAGAATAAGAAAGAAATTAGACAGTAAAAAGGGTAAGCTCGTCTGTTTGCATCCACCCTCCAAACTTCGCCTGTGCGCGTCCAGTTTACGAATCGCCATGAATGTAACATACTGAAAACATATAAGATCAGATGTGTACTGACTACTAATAACAAAGTGGTAGTTTCCTTATTTTATGGATTTTTGAAAGCCACTTAAAGCCACTTAAAGGCTGATGATGAGATGATGATTATAATGTCTATTTACCTCTTTTCACTTATTCTGAGAATGTAAGGTGTTATGGTACATTAACAAGGCTTATACGAAATCCAGAACAAATATTTATAATTTCATGTCTGCCTCGTTGGCCGAGTGGTCGCAAGTGCGACTGCCAGGCTAGGGGTCTCGGGTTCGATTTCCGGGTCGGGCAAAGTATTACTGGGTTTTTAAAAAAATCTCAGTAGTAGCACGGAGTCTGGAATTGTGCCCCCCGTATATGGCAGATTCACCCCCTATTACATGGTGAAAAGTGACTCATAACATAAATAGTGAAAAGTGGATGTTACATTGTACAGTGGCATAATGTGGACCTCTGCCTACCCCTTCGGGGATAAAAGGCGTGATGTTATGTTATGTAATTTGATGCCATTTGGCAAGGAGTTTTATGTAAAAAACGTAAACATAGCTGGTTGGTCATAGTCTTCATAATGTTTTGTTGTTTGCATGTAGTATGAAATAAAACTGGAACATATATTGGTGTAGACACCAGCACGTCAAAGTCATCCTCATCAACAACAGCCCGTATGTAACAATCCATTACAAAGCTACAAGCCTCCTCTAGAAATTCACAGTAAAAAGGTCCTGGTTTATCAAAGAGTGTTGTTTTCCGACCTCTGTCATATGTGTTCCTTGGTCGCTCTTACGACAACTGTACATAATATTTTCTTTTTATAGGTTAAGCCGGTAAACGAGCAGACGGGTGGCTTTATGGTATGCAATCGGCGTCGCCAATGGACACCCGGAATACCAGTGACGTTACAAGTGCGTTACCGGCCTTTTGAGGAATATTGGGATTCAGGAATTGCGGGATAATTGGGGCTCCGGTAACCTTATTAACACCACGAAACACAACGCAAGCGTTGTTTTCTGTGATGTATCAATCCGTGCCGAAGCATGACTCTCCCACACTTAACTAATAATTTGCATTATACTAGAAACGAATCTAACTAAAATACAAATTCAAACTTTGCGCATAACCCTACAACAGCTAACGATTACATTTAACAAACAAACACCATAAAATAACGAGAATAAAGTAACCCTTTAGCGCACTGTTCTCAGATCATAAACCAAACCCTTCAACGCCTGCTGAATGTCAATAAGACCGTTGCAAATTTAAAAAACAAATCGTGTTTAAATATATTATTTTTAAAAAATGTACACTGCCCTTAAAATGTCGATTAAATGAATATCATTGACTTTTGTTAACAATAAACGCTGATTTATTGTGTTTGTTTATGTTAAAGGCTTATTTGAAATTTATTAAGCTTGACAGTGATGTATTTGTAGTGTAAAGCGGCGCCGCTGTTTGTACTTGCGAATATATTTTTGCTTAACGCATATTATTTACCATATTTAAGCTCTTATTGATAGCAATCAATTTTATTTTATTTTTAGATGTTTCTATAGACGAAATCGAAAAGGTTTTATTAAATCTGTGTCAGATTTTGCAAGTTAAGAGTATTATAAAATCTTATTTACCTACAGTTATAATTTCTATGTGATACAATTAAACAAAGAATTAAGTAACAGAAACATCATGTAAATTGTATTACTGATAGATATTAACCTTTCATAACAATGTTTGCACAACAACTAAAATGTCGCCAGATCAAAAAAATAATCTCCCCAGTCCCCAGCAAAATTCACAGCGAAATACAGAACATCCATTTGCAACACTTGGCCGCGTTAAAATAATATGCAAGTAGGATTTATTGTGTTCAGGTGTCCTGCGTGCAGAGTTCTATTTTTAAACTCAAACGTGATTTTAATGAGCATTGACGCCTTCGGATTTTATTTTGAGCACTTTTATTGTAATGACTTCAACTTTCGCTCTGCAGTTTAGGGTTAATAAAATAGGGTTGCTTCTTTAAGATTTTGTAAGGGTTTTGAACATGATTTAATCTTAAGTAAAATCTCTACTAGTTTCTTGAGCTGCGACGTCGCCGCGAACGCGCACGCTGCTCATGAGGAAGAACCCCTCTGTGGTTCGAAACTAGTAGAGCTTTACTCAGTTTATTCACGTGAGTAACCCGCGATTTAACTTAATTTAGTAAGTCTCACGATAGTTATTATATTTAATTGTCATTTTGTGAAATGTATCATACAAAATAAATAGATGTATACAAATCTTCCCGTAGATAAAATACACGAGGTGTCAATTCAATCATAATCATAACCTACTTGGGTAAACGCCAGAGGAAATCGAAGGTCATTTTGAGTTATGACGCATATCCTCTAAATAATTGTTATGTATGTATCACTTTACAATGTTTAAAGAATTATAAGAAAGAAAAATATGTTTCCGTACATTGAAATTTTTCTTCTATGACCAACTTTTTAATTTTCTGTACGTGCATCAAATTCGAACAGAGGAATTATTAAACAAATCTTTTCCAAAAAAGGATCTAACTAAAATAGTTTTCAAAGTGTGTGAAATTCAGCCGAATCTAGCTAAAAAAATTGCACTTTAATTTGCAAAAAACTAAAAGAAAAGAAGCGCAAATTAGCATTAAAGTTACCCTATGTTCATACCCTTTATCGAGTCTTTACAGTTATCTTTCAGTAACCTAAAAAAAACAACATTTCTTATATCTATACACCACTGACTCAATTCTTAACGTCACTTTGTAGTGTAGTGAGTCAACACTGACGTATATACACTAAAACAGGGACACAAAAGAACGACTGTTTAATTTTTATTTACACATTGTCGAGTACAGTTTGATTTAGTGGGTTACGCATCACTAGTGTACTGGGAATGGCAAGTTTTACGTGTATAGGACGTAAATATAACAGAGTATTTATATGGAGATGATAGTCACACCTAGATAGAGCTGATCTTACAGATATTTTCATAATTTTGATATGTCGTGTCTGTTGTTAAAGATAGAACTTGGACGTACAACATTCATACAAAAAAATATCTATCCTACAGTTAGATATAAATGTGTTATTAATCGAAAAGATAGGATTGCAATGAGAGGTCCTTAGAGTGAAATTTTCTTCTTCTTCCTAGTCGTTTTTTTCATTACTGAAGGTCGTGTCTAGTCTGGTACAAGCGTCACTTGATGCACAACCCTCTTCCAAACGCCCCTGTCCTTGAGGAACTGTCAGGCCGGTTAGGTTTTTTACAGCATCCAACCTACGGGTAGGTGAGCAACCACGAGGTCTTTTCCCGTTAACCCGACCAACAACCACAAGATTCTCCAGATTGTTGGGGTCTCTACTGTGTCGGTCTTACGGTCTCTACCGTGAACTTGTATGTTTGTAAAGGCATCCATGACACAGGAGAAAATAATAATGTGGGGCAACGTCCTTTTAAAATAAATTCTGTTGTCTAATCCTGGATACAGTCAGCCTGCAAACTACTAAATAGAAAGTCTAAAAAAAGTTTCGATTCGAAAACCAAACTTATGTTTCATGACACAGTCACCCTGAGACAATGAAACCAAAGTAGTCTAAAAATGGACACTAAAATAAATCCATGACCTTTTATTACTTGAAGAATAAAGTAAGGACTTACTGAGACGTTCTATTTTTAAAATACAACACTGATTGTAAGTTTGTTACAAATATATGGATATATTACAATTTTACATTTACAATGTAACGTCGCGTCGCTTTGTTTCGCAAGTGGTCCCGTCCGATATTTTAACAGCCAACCAGATTTGTGGCCTGTGAATTATTGCTTGGACCAGTGATGGGGAATTCGAGGGTTATTTTTTTGTCGATATCGATAAATTAATTTTGTAATCGCAACGATTAATGATCAACGCCCAATGTCAACATTAAATGTGGTGTTTTGAAAAACAACATCTATAAAAAAAGATGGTTAAAATTCAAAGCTTTGATTTTTATTTACCCTTTAAGTAACCACTATTTAATATCATAATTTAAGCGACATTAAAGATGATGCATGATGATGCACAGCATACTAAACATCACTTTTGAGGAAAAATTTAAGATATCTTAAAATAGTATCGACACTAACTTTCACATCACTATTTCTTTTTGCAAGCCCTTAAACCATCGATTTAGTGGTTGCATATGTTAAGCAGATGCCTCATGCACCCATGGGTCACAAAAACTTGAAAAATCAAATTTCGAGATGTAAAATTTTTGGTATTTTTAAAAACAATAGTGTGAGGTCGTGGGAATGGTCCGTACAAATGACCGTAGTGAGTGAAGGATGAGGATTTCTTAAATAAATTAACTTGGACAAAGAAACAATAGTTTTTTTTTTTATTTAGTAAGACTTAAGAGTGTCATGAACAAATTAAGGATGTTAGTGTTCTAAGTTTTGGAACGGAACTTGCCTGTTTAGATATGAATTAAATAACTATTAATCAGCTTTTGTAAGCAAGTTTTTGGAAGCATGTCTCCTTTGCTATTTTGCTAAAAAAATTAAAACTTGACATAAGATAGATATGAGAGTAATTGAGTATTTATTGTAACAGTATTAGGTTCGAGTTTTGTCTAGAATGAAACTAATAATATCTTTTTTACCAGTACTTAATGCCATACGTATTTAAATGTCTTTAAATCTCACGCCCGAATACTGAAAGACTACTCAATTTTAAATTGTACTTAAATATCGTGGCATCACTATCATTTTCCAAAGAAATTGTAGTGACAGAACTATACTTAGGTAAGTACGTCTTAAAAATTATGTGGCGTTTGAGTATTTTCACATTATCAACAAAGACGTTGAAAAAATGTCGGACATATGCCG